GGCGGGGTCTGGGGTGCCTCGGGGGGGTCCTACAGCGGCCGCGTGCGGTGCTCTAGGGGGGTTCCGTGGTGGCGGACGTGGGCTACTGGCCTGGTAGCTGTGCTGCTGCTGGGTGGGATTGGGAGCCGGGCATCGGTTCTTTTGTGGTGCCGGCCGGGGTGCTTCTGTTCTGTGGGTCGTCGGAGCGTGCCTCGTCTTTCGGTGCAGGATTTCGGTGGTTGGCTGTAGCGCTTGGTGTGGTTGCATTGTCCGGGGGGACAATGTGCATGGGTGGTCGCGCCTGTGGCCGGGGTTCATGTGTGTCTGTTGTGGGCTGGTTGCTGGCTTCGGGGGGGCCCCTTTGGGATGCCTCCCGGGTCGGGGGTGTGGCTTTGCTTTGTTGGGGCGGGTGCCGGTGGGCATCGTGCGCGGGGGCGGTTTTGGAGTGGAGGGTTGCTTGGTGTTTGGCGGCGGGGGGCGGGGTTGCGTCTGTTGCTTTCTTTTCGCTGCTTGTGCCGGCTTCTGGAGCGCGGCTGGGGCGGCTTTGCTGCTCTGGCTCTCTGGCACATGCCGGACGGGGCTGCTCTGTCCCTTGTTTTGCCTTGCGGATGTGTTTGCTGTGGTTGGTAGGAGTGGAGTGGTTTCGTTGTGTTTTTGGGTCGGGGAATCCGCCTGGGGGCTTGGTTGGTGCCGTCGGTTCGTCCATATCGGCCTTCCGGATTTGTTTCTGTCGGGCCCCCGCTTGCAGGTGGTGCGCTGTCGGCGGGCTTGTTTGTCTTCTGGGAGGGCAGGCATGTTGATTTTTCTGGGGAGGTGCGTCTGGATGGAGGGGTCCTCGCAGTGTGGCTGTGGGTGTTGGACAAATAAGTAAAAAAAAAAAAAGAAAGAAAGATCCACAGACAGAAGATGGTTCTAGAGTTATTATCAGCTGGGCTTATGGAGTAACATCATCCAAGTTTAGTTGGATTAGTGGCTTAAAAGACTAAAGCTTTTGGGGATGTTTGTTTAGATGGCAGGGAGGAGGTCTGTCATCTATAAACAGTCTCTAACATGGAACATGT